GTAGTTTTTTTCTGAAATTAAATGATCTTTTTGTTTTAATAAAATAATTGAAACTTTTTGACATAATCTTCATCCGGATTATATATATATAAATCTCTTCTCCTTCTTTTTGATCGAGATTTTTCGATAAAAATCATGTTATAAGATTAATGAACGATTGAAAAGTTATATTTTCACATTGAATTCGTATGAAATTTGATAAATCGATACTAGACTGTCTTTTTGTAGCTAATTGATTTCATCGAAATATTCATGTCATATGTGTAGTTTATTTTCATGATCATGTCATTAGAAATTACATAATAACAAAATATATTGACAGGATATCAATTATAATCGTTATCAGTGTCACATAGAACTAACAGCTGAATATTTTGAAGGATAATTTTCTTGGCAGGATGACATGTTACAATTCTATTAGAAAATTTGTCTAATAATATTTTGTCATTTAATGATATTATTAGTTTTCTTACATTAAACAACTTCATCAAGTCTGCTGTTATCGAATTTTCCTCGAAAGTTTTAATTGTAAGACGAATAAAAAACCAACTATTTTGTATTAACTTAGAAAAGTATAATAAGATAGAGTATGAATTGATACATTCGAAAAACATTTTATCGATGTCTACTTCTAAGAAATACTATTTCAAAAAGTTTATTAACATTATTAATATTTGATGTTAATTATATGAACTCATTTTCTGATAGAAATCTATTCAAATGATCTACTGTGACTTTGTATCTTTTTTCAATTAAATATATAATACAATGTTTTATGTGTGTTAGCATGGCAAACACAATTCCCGATCGATTATATGATCGAAAATGGTGAAGCTAGCTAATTTAAAAAAGATTCTAATACAATAGAAATTGAAGGAATTTTACTGGAGTATAATATAAATAACAAAGTCTGTATAACTGATAACAACATCTTAATATATCATCAAGTACCATACCTTAATTACTTGATTTCGTAACTTGATCTAGTAAGCATGCTTCTTGCTTTCACGTTGAATGCAAAAAAAATCATGTACTATGGTAGATAAAGTAGTCATTTTTCAACTTCTATTGATACCAATTATAATCAAAAGCATTCGTATATTTGACTTGGTGAAACTTTTCAAAAAGCTTTTTATTTTATGTGAACTCATAATATGAATAGTTTGTAATTCCTTTAAAAAGCCTATACTACTGGAACAATCATCTATTTAGTTTGTCTATGTTTAAACAGACAAATTATAATGATATAATGAAGGCGGAAGACTAAAAAAGTCTTATACGGCATTAACAACTGATTACTAATCCTTTTTTTTTAGCAATAAAAGACAGAATTCTGTTCGACAAATTGCTTTTTCTTTATATATCTAATTGGATGCTTGGTACACTTTCATTTATATGTGAAAGTGAATAAAACCTATTTTAAATTGATATGTTATTTGATGTTTCTATGTTCATATTGGATTCAATTTTATATTTTTCAGCAAAAAAATGTAATTGTTATTCTACTTTGTTGCATAGATAAAAATCAGATATTAGTGATTATTCAGTTTGATTAAACCAAACTACGTCGTGTTGTTTGTTCAGAGATCTAAATGTTTCAAATCTACTATCTATCTTTTACATATGACAATAATAAAACTAACAGATGAATTCTTCTTCGATTGTGCTACTCAAAGTAATGTCACATGAAATATTCTTTTTCAAATGCAACTAGAATTCTAGTGATAGAAGTCGATTATTGTCTCGATACTTATTTTTGGAAATCGCTTTTTTTTTCTAAATTTTAATGATCTTGATGATGTTCTGGTGCTATGAAGCATGAAGATAAATTAACCGTAGTAATAAATTTGTCTTTTGAATTCGATATAATCAAAAATTTCTTAGAGTTTTCGGATAAAAAATAGTTAAAATATAATCAACAACTGTTTGAAATATCTCTTGCATTTGTAAATAAGTCAAATATTGACACTTGATTATGTTAATAAAATGGAATCAAAAGTTCTAATAAATATCTTTCAACAATTTGAAATTTTCAGTAATTTTTCTAGATCTTTGTTGTCAAAACAATTAAAAAAAACTAATATTTATGCGAATATAAATATCATTTTCAAGATAATTACGTTTCAAGTGCAATCATATTTTTGTTGTTCACTTTCTTTTGTGTTCACTAATATTAGCTATCATTACCAATGAAATCATAAATAAAAATGTCTCAAGTTATTTTCAATATCTTTTATTTATTTAGAAATTCGATGCTCAACAGCATATTTACATGAATCACTTCTATAATTGAAAAAAAAAAACAACTATAAACTGTTTAACATCAATTAAAAAGTGCTTCTATTTAGTAAACTACTCGTTAACGATTTTACTAACAGATTAAATATAGATATCTAGATATAAATGTAAATTAAGTAAAATGCAAGAGATGACGTGACATACAACAGAGACTCGTTCTACAAGATCAATTTTTCATTGTATAAAATTTAATTTTTATGTGTACTAAGAAAAGTTAATTCTGAATATTTTTATCATATGTTTTTATATGTCAAATTCTGAAATTCTATCTATGATATACGATCAAAAAATAGTAGTATATTGTTTTTAGAGATTCTATGCTTGAAATTTCAATATTTTAAATAAAAGATTTGAAATTGAGAACGATTTAGTTTTTTTATCATTCATAGGATTCTGTGTCGTTTTCTTTATGTTTGAAATAAAACGTATGCTCTATATAAATATTTATAAAAAATAACATAGAAATTAATATAATTATTTACATGAAAGCTATTTCTATTGCAAAAAAAAGAGAAGTTATTATATTCTTATGTTCAGACTCACTCTCTAACTCTTAAATAACTATTACATCACATATTCATGTATACATCACTGAACAATCGATTCAATTATTCAATAGTTTAATAACAATGATCGTCATGCTTAAAATCATCCACAGGTCAAAAAAAAACATATTCGTAAACTACCATCAGTCACAGTACAATGACGTGTTACATGACGCAATGTTACGGTCATATTTCTCCGTATCTCATATCCGAAGAAATACGATCGTTGACGAAATTCTAATACAAAGATAGTATACAACCTCCACTTTACTCAGTATCTGGCCCTGAACGATCGTATTTCTCCATATCACATACAAAGAAGTACGATGGTAATACTGAACCATGTAATAAACCAATATATGATCATATATAGTGGAATAGCAAATGTATAGAATCGTTTCACAGTGCATACGAGTTTCGTATACTTCATTTTAGGATATAACTCCTTGGTTAACTTGAAATCTAATGTATATGAGTGCTGTGTTTTTTCATTCCGCACAGTCATTCCTATCAGATGGTAACTATGTTACAGATAGACACAGGTAAATTTTTGTATCTAGATCTTATCCTTTCAATTTAGGGAATATTTCATAATTAATTATAATAAATCTAAAAAGTGAACATTGTTTTCAGATTTTAATGATGATTGTCTGAAAACGATATTACCATAAGGTACACATTGTGAATCAGCAGAGAATGTTGATATTGAAAAATTATTTTCTTCAAGATATTTATTGAATGATTATTGTTTCAAGAACATATTTTTTTTCTCATTCAGATAATAGATAAAAAATTTTCGATATCTAAGAAATTTTTATTATGACTATTTTCTGTTGAAAAACATTCAGTTAGCAAATCAGAATCGCATTCTTGATCATAAACTAATTAAAACTTTATGTTCTTTTGAACTGTATGAATTTGAATGAGCATATAAAATGAAATATTCTAATTGAGTTCAACTATATCTCAAAACATCTGTTATCACTAACAACTTTGCTATGTTAATCTAGATATTAATTCCTTGAAAACAAAAATATGTTTTTCAGTATGATTTATTGCAGTTTATTCCTAATAAGGATTAAACTGAATTGACACTTCTTTAAGGTACACCAAGGTATTATACTGAATAGATGATTTCTTCTAAAGATAAAAGTCAAATTAACAAATTTTTATTTAACAATACTTAGTTTAAGTAAAATAATACCTTTTGTATCGTTTTTATTTTAAACTGAACTCTTTTTTAAATAGAAACTAAAAATAACAGCTATATGGATTTTCAAAAGAAAAAGCTTAATCAAAGAAAAAGCAAAGAGTAATGATTTTTGTATGTTTTATTGAATTAATTTCATTTCATCTATGAGAAATTTTAAAACATTAAATTCTATTTACCTTGTATTCTCAACAATATCATCAGACTTTCTTTTAATATAATAAGCAAATAAGAATAATAATATTTGCAAATGTATTATTCTCTACACTATCAGAATGTGTTATTTATAATTATATTTTTATTTATTCTGTCAATAATCTTATAGTTAGATTCATTACACTATTTACTCATATGATCAAACAAATTTATATTTCTTTTCAAACATTCGACTATTGTAGCATATAGATTCTCGAAAATTACTTTTTATCATCAATTCATTTTACTAAATGATTAAGATGTTAAATACTTCACTATAGTCAGATCATTAATAATAAATTATCTCTACTTGATTTTTCACTTGATAATTCGATTTACAAAAATTTCTAGGCTAAACAAGAATGTTTATTTGATAGTGATAAAAAAACTCTTTTTTTTTTTGTTTTGTTATTAAATATACATATCGTTCAAATAAAAGAAACGCTGTTTCTATGACAATAATAAAAGAAAAACATATCATAATTCAGTAACTGAATATCAAAGTATAGAAGAACTAATATCAGATAAAATTATATTTATTTCTAAACTGAAAAGAAAATCTACATCTGTTACGTTATACTAACTATTTAATTGAAATAGGTCTGCAGCTTATAATAAGTATTAGTTATTTTATTTAGAAAAACAAATTTCGAATACGAAAGGAAAAAACCAATCTTTCTTGTTACAACAATTATATCTAATAAGCAAGATAGTGCATGAAAAATTTCAAGTATTATTTCGAAGCAAAGTTTTTAATGACTTTTAATTTGATCAATATAAATAAAAATTGAACTTCGACAATGACTTTCATCATCCATCGTATGACTACTCGATGGAAGACTTCTATCTAAAATAATAATAAAATATAGAAAATAAAAAGTAAAATAATTCCTAACCATCATAAGCAATAAATCTTTGTGGACTGGAAGGTGGTTGATGAACTCGACAATCATGATATAATGAACTAGGAACATTTTCCGTTCCAGAACTCATTGATAACAATTGATTATTATCTTGATCGTTGCATGACATATATCGGTCAATTCTATCACATATTCTCAAATAAATAAACACAAGTAGATATTCATCGACTTACGAAGTACTGACATTATCTCTCTTATCAGCATCAATTAAAGAATAATCGCCATTAATATGAATAATTCGTTGGTTGTTCATAGGTATAATTACTTTACCTGAAAACGATGGTATGCTATGCAATCTTGTCTAGTTTTTTCTTTGTACAAATAAATAATTTAGATAATTAAATTTTAACTCACCAATTCATTTTTATCATTTTCTAATTCTAATCGATTCATTTGATTGCTTATTGTTGTCGGCCATTTAATTTCACTAAATAATTAATCAAATAAATATATTAGAATTAAAGAATAATACATATGTATACATTCGTTTTCGATAAATAAATTCGACTATTTAATTAGAAATTTTATTTGAATTTTCATCAAATTTTCCATCTAATTATCATTAACGAACAATATTTCAATATAGTATCAAAAAAAAAAGAAATTACGCACAAATCAAATCACGTACACAAAGACGTATTTCTTGATTATTGTACCGAACAATAATCTAATAATATTAATTAGAAGTTTTACCAAATAACTAAAACTAAAAAAGATTTCTTTACTTTTTGAGCTTTAACAAAAGTTTCTCCATTATATTGTTTAAGAAAAGCATAAGCTGCTTCACTTGCATTAAATCTTGCAATATTAAATTTCTTAATACGACGAATTTGCCATTGATGAAAATAAAAACGTCGACTAGAAGAATATTTTACTTTTCTTTTTCGTTATACACAAAACTTATTAAATAATACAAACCGATCGAGAATTTCAAGAATAATTTTTTCTATATACTTTGATGGCTCACTTTCATCCATCTTGTATATAAAAAGAAAATTTTTTCTTAGACATGATCAGAAGTTACGCTTATCATTATATGTGTACGTGATAGAATGATGATTCTTTCCTCATTCATCAAATAGAATTGATAATGTAAACGAATTAATTTTAGCTATATCACATACTGCATTCCGAAAGTAAATGGTTTAGATAATGATTATAATATTGTTTTCAATAAATCATATTGATTGAAATTTAAACTAAATATTTATTCGATTAGAAGAATAACATCAATGAATATAAAAATGGTAGAGAAAACTGAGCAGGTGACAATATTTATCTTATCATTCGTTTGTTGACGATAGACTTTCTTTGACTAAATAACTTCTTTTTTTTTTGAAAAAGAAGGTCAAATTATAAAAATAGCGCTTGTTACATTTAAAATCTTTTGAAAACAAAAAATAAATCAATAAAATGAAGATATTTCTTGTATTATTTTGTCAATGTTTTGTTATTTTAAATAAATGAACATTAAATAAGACGCATTGGTCATTGTTGTTTTTTTTTTTTCATACAGAAGAGAAAAGACACACAAATACGGAGAGAAACAATGTAAAATTCGTTAATAAACTGTCACTGTTTTTTAATGCAGCTAACACATGTAAAGATAAATGAACCAAGAACAAGAACAAAAAGAAAAAAAGAAATCATACTCGGAAATAGTCGAGCAATCATTTTATATATATATATATTTATATTTATAGATATATATATTGATTTAAAAATATGTTTTTCTCCGTTAATGACAAATGAATATTTTATATTTCATTCATTGTTTGTTGTTTTTCGTTTTTGTGCACATGTTTGTCCATAAACATGTCGCCATTGATTTGCCAATAATTGATATAAAGAATCTAAAGTTTCAAGTTCTGTTCGAAGTTCACGTGCATCTGTTTGACCGGGTGTTGTCAATGAAGATGAAAGTGTTCCACTAGAATTCGTATGTACAATTGAACAATCAGAAGAGATTATATTCGATGTGATTAAAAATGAAATAAAATGAAGAAATAAACTGTTCAAATGTGGATGTAATTGTAATTCAATTAATTGACGATAATGAACAGCATATAAATGTGCAACAGCATGATATATTAGACGAACCATTTTACGTACAAGTGAATCAAAATATAAAGGAAATTGTTGATCTGAGACAAAAAGAAACAAAAAAAAATTTTAATTCAGATTTTTTTTTTGTTCTAAATTATTTTACCAAGTCTTGTAGGAAATATTGTTTCATCGGAAAGTGTTTTTTGTATAAACATCATTGAAAGGTCAATATATTGTGGTGCGGAATATTTTACTTTTTTATTTCGTTCATCAAGCCATAAATACGAACTATGAATATTATTAAAGTTTTTTTTAATAATAAAAATAAAATAGATAAAGAAGAAAAAAAAAATCAAACCTGTTCTGAGGACCGGTCATTACTGGACACGTTGTTAGTGTACAAAAGTCACACATTGCATTGTACAAAGCGTTCACATGGTTGAAAAAAGCAACAACTATAACAAAAAAAAGATAAATAAAATAGTAATTTATTTTATCTCGAAAAAATATTTTCCTTTAAATAATTAAAAAAAAGAAAAATAAAACTACGAACTATTATTTGCAATCCATTCATTTTTATCTACACCATTAGGTTGTCGAATTAATTCATGAATATTACATTCAGCAATTGATCGTGTAAATACAGCATATTCGGGTTGAAGATAAAGTAAACCACTATTGATTGAAGAATTTAATGAATTTGATTGAGTTGGAGTTATTGATGAGATAAAAGATTGATTAGGATTTTCATTAGAATTTGTTATTGGAACATTTGGTGGATCACTCGGAGGTGGTGATGATTCTTTAACTGTTGGACCAGCTCCTTCGTTTTTTCGACGTTGTTTCCTTTAAATTAAAAATCGATATTATTTTAAAGGATAAATATAAATAATATTTACGTAAAAATGGAGCCTAAATGAAGAGAAAGGGCACGCATCGATTATTTCATACATATAAAAAAAAAAAAGATATGTAAACTAGTCACGGCCCATTGCCCTACATGTTTTACTCATTTACTTTTTTTTTTTTCATTTTTTATTCACCTATAACTGATCCAACATCAGTAATTTTTGGTTTTTTTTTTTTATCAGTCAAAATTCATCTATACTGCCACTCTGTGCTTTGCCTTATTTTGCGTAATTAATATTAAAAAAAAGCACATACATCTTTGATTGAAAAATGTTCATTTATTTTTATCTAATATTAAAACAACGAACAACTAATAACTTACATATGTCGATGATTTGTCACTTTTGATAATATATTCGGACATAAAAAATGTATGTGTTGAAATCTATTGAGAATTGTTTCTCGACTAATGAACCTGACCATTTTTAACGTCTTTTTATGTATCGATAAAAAGTAAAAAATGCATTAGAAAATAAAAAGCTGGTTACGCATCAACGAATTTTCTTCATCTTTTCTCATGACTAATATTTGACAATGTACAAGGTTTTTCTGAATTATGTGTCATAGGATTTTTCGTCTTTTTTTTTTTTTTTGTTAACTACTACCTACCTCCACTGAAAAAATAATATATGAAATAAATTTGATATTGGATTACTCCAAAAAGATTTTTCCGAATCTAAAACATTTGCACTCGAATGTAATTGCATCGTTGTTGTATCTATGTGATAATATTACTGAATTTTTGTTTATCTTTTTTTTTTTGTTTCTGTCAACTCTTCATTAGAAGTATAAATATAACTTGTTATTATCTACTCAGACTATGAATCATTATCGGTAAATATTAACTTGTGCGACTCTACGGTTACGTCAAATAAAAACAATTCTTACCGAAATAAATTGTTCATTATTTAATAATTTATAACGACAGGAAAGAAAAAAAATTGCATATAGAAAGACAGATTTCTTTTTTTTTTTTCTTTTTTGTTTTTGATAAATCGAACTTTGAACTTGTGTGATAAAAATTAACTATAAAAATGCTCACTATGTTAAAGAAGAAATGCTTATCATCTTCTTCTGTTGCAACATTATTTGAGATGTAATGCATGTCATAACACATGCAACGTAAACCATAGACATCTCGCAAAAAAAAAAAAAAATCCCCAAAAAAAATGTTTTTTAGGGGGGCGCAGTTTTTTTTTTTTTTTTTTTTTGTCTCTTTCTTTTTTCTATATATTCATTGGTTTGAATAAGAATGATTCAAATATTAAAAAAAAAAAAAGAAAAATAAATTAATCAAACATATGATCGATAAATGTAAGAAGAAAAAAAACGAAACCATTTTACACCTGTTTGTAACCAATTTCTTGTTAAAAATTAATAGTTCGAAAACGAAATATTATTTTTATTTTGTCTCTTTTGTTTTGAGAACTTTATATTACTTTTCTCATGACAAATCGAACTATTTTAAACTTGATCTCTTAACGTCAATAAAAAAAATATCCATTTGTTATGATCATACGGTGAATGCAATATTAATATCTCTATAGACAATAATAACAAAACTCAAGAGTATAATATTAAGCTTTTATTTGTTCATAAGATATCAATAATAAGGAAAAAAAAGACAAATGTTTTCACTTTTTTTATGATTATGAAAGGTCCAAAAAGAAAATTATCCATCTATTTTAAATATTTATCAATAAATGGTCATCTGTTTAGTTAAGAATAACGTACCAGAGTGGAAAGACGAACATAGTAAATGAAGAGACGACGACACTTCGCCTCCAGATGGTTCCTTCTGTTTCTCTTCTCTTTATTCTCACAGTTCTCTTCAAGCTTCCGTTTTTTATGATGTCATTATTTTGCAAATGCTGCTGTTTCTCGCTTTTTACTCTCGTTCTGTTTCTCATTGCTATACCGATTCTCGCTGCTCGATCAACAACACACTTTACAATGGTAACAGGTAGAGCGAGAATGAGAGAGAGAGAGAGAAAAAGAGAGAAAGGGGGAAAAGATTTGCTTCCACTAGGATTTGACAACGAATAACGATTAAACAACATACGAAGCACGTTATGAAGGTCAATCGATTTGATCGTTGTCGTCCACTATTCTGTTGCCGTAATCTCTCTAGATGGCTTAGGTCGTCTGCTCTTCTTTTGTGGACATACGAAATACACAAAGGGATTGAGCAACAACCAACATCAATCTTCGTTTTTTTTTTTTTCTTTCTTAAGAAACTTTTTATTAAAAGCAAAAAAAAGAAAAACAGAAAACCTATTTTTTTTTTCTTCTTTCTTCCAATCGTATTAATATTAGATTAGGGTTCAAAATGAGAAAAACATAATCGTTTATATTTATCTCATAACTAATGCAAATCCTGAAAATAAATTTCTTTTCTATAGAAATAATTACAATTGATCAATATGATACGTGAAGAAAACATTTTTCTTTTATTGGAATTCAAAAAAAAAAATAATAACTTACGTATTAGATGAAGCAGAAGTGAATATAAATGACAAGCTAAGAATACCCATGGTCTAGTAAAATGTTGTCATCAGTATGGTCTCATTCTCTCGTCGATCGTTTCTCCGTATTTCTTTAATACCTCGCACGAGCTTCTCTTCAAGTGAGAAAAAGAACAAGAGAACATGACGACGTTACAACAACGGAAGAAGAAAAAAGAAAAAAGAGAATCAATCAAAACAAACATAGCACAATCACGCCACTATTCCCTTGATGGTGACACATTGATACACACAATCGAAATTCAACTCAATGTCCATATTTGAACTGTCATATTCACGGTTAATGTTATTTTTTATTAAACAATAATCAAATATCGATTTCTTCTCTTTGAACTCATTATGATTTCTAAATTTATCTTTAATTTTCAATTATTTATTTAAACTATTAATTTAATTCTATTAAAACTTGATCAATAAGATAATAAAGTAAAAAGGCCAATGACCTTCTCTTTAAAAGACAGATAGACACGCCTTATGAAAACAAATAGAAAAGAAGCAAGGTTATAAAAGAGAGAGAGAGGGAGAGAATTAGCTCGATCAATCAATGAACAGCAAGAACTCTATGACACTGAGAGAAAAAACAAATATCACATATATATCATCTTTAGTAAATATATGAGAAGGTCATTTCTATCCTAAACGATCATCTATACTCGATAGAACAAATCAAACTATTCATATATGTTCCTCATTTATATATTTACATTTTTATTATTGAATATTCAATCAAACAAAAAAAGAAAAAACGAACTTAGATTTGACATATAAAACTATTTTTTGTTTTTCTCATATTTCAAAATAATTTTGAAATAAAAAGCAATCATAAATTGACAGAACAAAACAAAACAAAACAAACTATTGTTTTTTTTAGATGAACTTTATATTTTCAATCGACACTACATTTAACCCGATTCTCTTGTTTTGTGTCACATATTACTTTAGGCAAACTTTATACTTGAAATTTGCAGAACATTTTTTTTCAAAGCTTTACAATAACAAATTTCGAGAGTATGTCATTTCAAAAAAATCGAACCATACATATATTATTATGCAAAAGTTTAATAGAATTATTTTTAGCCTTAATATTTGTAACAACTTATTAAAATAAATGAAGATAATATTCAATATATCAAATTGAAATAATTGTTTAATATCTTACCCAGTAAACCAATCAGTTAAATACTCCAGTTTGCTAGTATTGACTGTTGTTTGATGAATAAGTGGTTGTTCAATAGATGATATACTTCTTGTGTTGTTCGACAATACTGTCGAACAACGCATCGAATTTAAAATCGAAGATAAATAAGCAAATAAATATGTCAATATGACATTAAGAAATGAACTAACAAGTTCAATTAAATTTATAAATATATTTTAAATGAATAAACATTATCTTAAAAACAAAAAAATAAATCAATGTTTTTTTATTAATGAAAATTCTTTTCTTCTTCTTCTTAATGATTTTTTTATTTACACAAACACAAACACAAAAGAAATCCTTTAATAAAAGATTTTAATCATCATCATCTTGTGCTGCTTCATTTAATTTTGAAGTTGTAGCAACAACTTCAGCTAAAGATTGTTGAGATTGTTTTTGTTCAGTTAATAAACGTTGACGTGTTAATTCTGCAATAGCTCGTGTTGTTCGTTTTTCTAAACGTTTTAATTTTTTTTCTACATCACGTTTTAAATCCCAATCAGGTTTTCTTGGTGCTAATGATAATAAATCAACATCTTCTGTTACTCCACTAATAGAATTATCATTTATATTTGTTCGATTTTTAATTTGATCTTCAATCTAAATAATAATTATATATGAAAAAAGAAAAAGAAAATATTATTTGTATTACCATTGATTTAACATCAATTAATTTTGGTTTAGGTAAAATAATAGCACCTGATATATTTCCCGATTCATTTGGTTTATAATTACGAAATATTGGTTTTGGAAATTCAATAATATCTTCTTGAGAATCTTTATTTTTATCTTTATTATCTGTTTCATTTTCATCATCATCATCATCATCATATTCTTTTCGTTTAATTGTTTGATTTTGTTTTTTTAATTTCCATTGTGTAAGACGTTCTTTACGTTTACGAGCTTCTTCTTCTAATTCACTTAATGTCATTATTTAATAAATTATATTTTAAGACAATATATATTATTAAACTAAGAATTATAATCAAACAATAGAAATAAATAAACAACAGCTGTTAGTTAGTTAGTTAGTTTTTCATCAAATCATTTATCTATTGGTTTATTAAAAATAAATTTTTCTAAATTATATTTATTCTAATCATTAAAACAATTAATTTATTTCTTTTTTTTTTGTTAATGTTTTAATTATTAAACATAATTGAAAATGTAAGCGACATCTTCTTCGATAATATATGCTAGATGACGTTCATTTTTATTTCGTGAAGGTTGTTCTTAAGAGTAATGTTTGACTCAATGGAAGAAATTAGAATTATTTTTTTCTACGTTTATTGAATATTTAAATGAGTGACGATATAGGAAAAAGTGTTGCTAGTACAGAAGTACCTGATGTAAGTCCAGGAGCAGGTTTTCAAGTATTTGTTGATATGGCGAATTTATATAATAAATTAAAATTACTTAATTATGATGATGATTATGTTATGAAATGGAGAATGAAACCAATATCACGAATACATTTTGCTGTATCAACAAATCCCGGAGATCAATTACATGCATTTATTGCTCTTTCAGCATGGCTTTTTCAAAAAGGTGGTCTTAGATTTGATAAACCAAGCGAGGTTTTATATTAAACTATTTGTTTTTATTTTTGATTTTTTTTATTTATAGGATGATGATCAAAGTGTTTTACTTCAGAATATTATTGCACAATTTAAGAAACTAGTAAGCCATATTTATGTATTATTCAATTGACAAGAATATTGTTTCAACTATTTTTCTTATTTAAAGAAAACTAAACTCTTCATGCAACACTATGAAAAAAAAAAGCTTTTTGTCAGTTAACAAATATAAAATGATTTGAATATAATAATTTTAAAATTGAAATGAATACAACATTAATATTATCGTATAAAAAGATATTTTTAGTTCATTATATGGATCAATTCTTTAAGATAAATACTATAATTGTTTTTATATTGAGAAAAGAGGAGAGTAATACCAGTTTTTTCTTCCTAAATATTCGAATAAATATTATTCTGATTGTAAAACTTTTAGTTTAGTTATTTGTATGAAATTCAAGTGAGATGTTATCTTTTTAACATTATTTTTTAGAAAATATTTTTCTATAAGAGACAATAATTAGCGCATAATTAATTAGTTGATCGAGTTTTAAGAAGAAATATTTAATTTCATTAAATAAAATATTTCTACAAAGTCAAACAATATTATTGAATATTAATAAAATCAACTTGAATTTGTTATCTATAAAATAGATTGAATAAAATTGTTTTTTAGGGTCATGATATAACTATAAGTGCAAGTAAACTTCGTTCTGGTTCTGGTGAACCTGTTGTTTATATTCTTAATCGACTTGCTGATGATGCACTTAAAAAAACTGGTTTTAATTGGCGAATGTAAGTTAATTAATATAATAATATGTTAATATGTTTTATTATTAGGCCTGAAAAACCTGATGAATTACCTGATGCTGATGATTCCGGTCCTAAAGATGATGATAATGAAATTGATGTTAATAAAATTGATGAAGAAATGTTTAATAGAGTAATTAATAAATATTATTGAATGATATAAAAAAAAAAAATAAATTCTTATTATATTTAGGATACAGATGCTGATGAATATGAAGAAGATGAAGCTGTACTTAATATGGAAGCTTTAACTAAATTAGGTTTAAAAACGAGTGCAGTTGGTGCTGCTGCTATATCGGAACCTGAAATTCGTCCTGAATTAATTATGGAATCAACAACAGATGCAACGGAATGGAAATTAGAAGTTGAACGTATATTACCACAACTTAAAGTTACATTTAAAGCAGAAAATAAAGATTGGCGTTCACGACAAGAACAACGTTTAACATATAAAACACAAATTGCAACTTCACTTAAAGATGCTGAACAAATGTTAACTAGATTTCATACTGATATTGCTAAATCATTAGAAAAAATTATAACACGTAACAAAAGAAACAAACAAATTATTTATTAATAATTATTTTTTTTTGTACATTTGTATAGGTGAACAATATATTAATTCTCAATTAAATGATTATTTACATGAATTTCATCGACAACAAGATTTATTAGCACAAGCTAAACAACATTATCGTCATTGTTCATCAGGTATAACAGACAAATCTCAACAATTAGCTCAAATTACAGCTGAATTAACACAAATTAAAGAAGAAATGGAAGAAACAGGACAAAATGTTACAGATGGAGGTTTGTCTTTTTTTTTCATATCACGAAAGTTAATCGAAAATTGAATTTTATTTTAGGTCCTTTGGTTAAAATCAAAAAAGCTATTGAAGAATTAAATCGTGATATAATTCGTGTTGATGTTCGTATAGCTGTATTAGAACATACACTTATGCAATCAAAAGTACGTGAAAAAGAAGAAGCAAACGATGAAAAAGCTGATTATTTACTTAATGAACCAGATTTTGAATAAAATTATTCTTTTTCGTACTTTTTGTTGCAATAGATGTTTTATATGAAATTGCACATTGAATTTAAAATTAACTAAAATTCTATTGAATCGATAAATACTAATATTTTCAAATCATTGAATTGATGAATTTAAAAAAATTTCTTTGCCAGTTATAGGAGAATTTACGACTATTATTTTCTATTGCGTAGAACTCAATAACATGAAGAAATATGTCCTTAACTGACAATAAATTATCCTTTTTCTTATTTTCTCTTCTGTCAGTAAAGCATATTACAAAGTCAATGGTTTTTTTCTATTAAAAAGTCGGAAAATGAGAAAAAAAAAAAAATTTTTTTTTTCATGGATATATTAACATTATTATAAAACTTCTAATTAAAAAAGAAATTTAATGACAATCAGTACAAACAATATTATGAAGACTATTTTCAGTTCTATTTATGGAAAAATCTCTTATGGTGGCAAAATATAAACTTTGATAAGGATGATGAGAAATTATATTAATGAAATTATAAGTATGAGAGCATTGAAATGAACGATGCTGGAAGGAAACTAATCCGTTGACTATATCGTTGATAGAAGTGGCAAGCGGTATAAGCCGGCTGTGATGATTCGTACAATCAATGTTCACTGAGTGCATATATATTTTATTTATTTATATATTTGTTATAATGAAATATGTAATCTACAACTAGTATTACGGTCGAACGAATATTTTTTCTTGTAATTCGAAGATTTAAACCATGTTTTCAACTGTGATTTCTCTGTAGAAACAAAAAAAAATTTCGAAATCCTTCAAGAATAACGAAGCTCTAATTGTTAAGAATGTAAACAATTCTAAACATGTTCGTCAATTATTATTATTAATTAGAAAATTTGTTTAAATTAAAATATAGAGTAACAAAGCTGATTTGTATATATGATATTTAAGAATCAATTATTATGTAATTATTTATTTTGAGCAACTTTTTCAGAATGAAATTTTAATAAATCACGCTCAAATCAATTATCAATATGAAAATCTTATATGCCAATAAATAAATGAAATACTCGCAACAAATATTGCTAAAGATTTTTTTTTTAATGGACTTGAAAACAGGATTTTTATTTCAGAAAATATCTCAACAGTTCACAGAGTACTTTTAGTGGTTGAAATCTTTTTGACATGACTCAATTGGGATCTGACAGAAGTCGAATTCTTTTAACTAATTTATTCTCAGACACATACATGATTTTTTTGATTTTATCAGTTTGTTTTTGTCTAATTAGACCGAGTTAAATATTTAGGTTTTGTATATATATCTAGAAAACAGAAGTTATGAACGGATATTTTTAATGATCACTGAGCAAAAATGAAACATATTTTTTACATTAGTTGATTGAATATCGGTTTGACTTAAAAGGTTAAAGGTAATCTTCGGATATTATTGTTAGCAGGAACATAAATTTTAGATATTTACTTGAACAGAATCAGTTTCGATTTATTCTTCTATGCAAATGTTTTTTTCCAGACACACTTATTTAATATACATTAAATTTGTATCTATAATCATTCATTATGTCTTTCATCGATAAAAGTGATCAATGTTAAATAATAACAGAATTATCTTCAACAATTTGATGTTTGATCATGAATTGAATTGCTCATAGCATCGAAATGTAAAATCTCAAGGCTCTTGTTTAACTAATATTACATTTTTCTGTCGTAGCTGACAAAATCAAATATATAAAAGTTTACAAACATGATTACCACAAACGAGTGATGAAAAACTGTCTAGACAAATTTCGATCCATATTTTAATTGACTAAATAAATTATGGGTGAGCTTCGAGATTAGTGGCGTAACCAAGGTAGGGCCAGGGGGGGCTCAGCCCTACCACCCGACCTTTCAGCCCTACCACCGGTGTTAGCGCATCGTCAACTGAATCCTTTCACAAGCCCTACCACCCCACAGGCCTCGGTAACCTGAGCCCTACCACCGGATATTTAAGCGTTGCTGAGCCCTACCATCGCCAAAACTCTGGTTACGCCGCTATTCGAGATATCTTTGTAACTGTATGTTCAGAAAAGTTCTATCATGTCTTATCTTTCAGTAAGAGACATGCCTTAAAACAGTATTGAAACTAACTCTGCAAAAGGAAACAAATATCATAAAAGGTACCGATTACATAGTATTTTATGATTTCTTTCGGTTCATTTCATAGGATGATGTTTATCTTTTCTCTATCGACTTAATTGAGAGACCTGCAATTTTCGCTATTCAAGAGTGAAGATTCGAGACCATCGAACTATATCGAAATTAGAGTAGTTATCAATCAACCAAACAAGTGAGTTCTTGGTAGAGATTTTCGAAAATGATATTTTGAAGTTATTTCTGTTTCGATTTAGATTTTCGAATAGAATTAATCGAGAGAAAAAAATTCTTTTGCTTTCGATCTACATATGATTTCATATCAGCGATCGACTTGCATTCATTTATGTTTTTTTCGATTGACACAAAAACACAAGATATTCAATTGACTAGAAAAAGTTAAGTCATTTTTTTTTCTCGAATATTCATTTTATAAAAGAGTACATACAACGTTTCTAATAGAATAATGACTACATGTTATTCGATGATGATGAAGTCCATGCTGTGTTATTCGTTGAAAATTAGCGAGACATTCCCAACAAAATTCATATCGACATATACATGTTATATGATCACATCCCAATATCTTCTCGATTGGACGTCGACATTTCGGACACAATTTAGTATGTCGTTTTAACCACAATTTTGTTGAATGATTTGCCGAAGTTTGACATTGATCATATTTATCACAAGTCATATCTGTATGCCATACTGTTCGATGAAACGAACAGATCGACCGTTGACAGTAAACACAAGTAATGCATGCTGTTGTATTTCTAGTCAAATCTTGAAATTGACCCAAACTACAGTCCGAATATGGACATACAAAATAATCAGGATTTTGTTCTAAAGATTGTCGTGCCAATTGTTTGTCATACTTATGAAATAAGTCTGTCGCACCATGAGATAAAAGAATCGAACGAATTGCTACATAAGTAAAATGGGCTGGACAATTAGGCTCAGGACAAGGGACATTATTTCTTGATTCACCTTTCAGTACATGTTTTATATGTTGATACACGCATCTATTACAAACAGTACGTTGGACATGTTGGCATTCATTACTGTAAGATTTTTCAAATTGATCAAGAGAATTGGCTCTCATACAAACAACACATTCACGTGTTAATAGAAGATCATCTCTAGAACAATGAAAATTATTTGCTTTCAATGGATCCGAAAAAGTTCATCGGTATAATTTGAAAGAAGCAGGTTCTGGTATCATCATCATTGAGACTCTTGATCAATGCACAAAGAATTTTGTAGTTAGGAAAAAAAATCATTCTAATCATTCTAATGATGAGCAAGGCAAGAATTGCTTACGGAGAAAGAATATAGTCAGGATCTGGTTCATCATCGAAATTAGAATCAGTCGAGTTCATGAAGATTGATTGCGGAAACACAACTGGGAAACATAAGGAAAACATTTGCAAGATTTTAAAAAAGAAAATAATCATCTCACTTCTATACAACATTAGATTATCTCTATTATCATGTATTGAAGTTTTTTTATCAATGACTGAAGAAAAATTCGATGGATTCAATTGATTGTCTTCGTTGGTGGCCACCGATGAAGTGAAGCTAGGTGTCATGAAATAAAATGAACTGAACAAACGACTGAAAATAAACATTTACCGATCATTCACTGATGGTGAGTGGGTCATAGTCAATGCATCAATTTTCCTTTGACATTCCACTATTAGCAGATTAAGGTGTCGTATGTGTTCGTATCTCTAAAATATGAAGTAACTGGGTGATAAGCAAAATAAGTTTCAGCCTACTCTTTCCTCCGATCTCTGATAACGATCTTTCAAGTTCATACAATAAATCATCGTTTGTTTGTATTCTTCAACAGCCTTATCATTGTTGCCTTCTAGACAATACTGTTCAGCTCGACCAAAATGTTCAATGATCTGTCCGTATATATCACGATAATCTAAAAAATGAAAATTTTGATATATATCATCTAGCAAACAATGCGAAAGAAAAGAAATGAAATCTCGTCCTTCATTTTCAAGTTCTCCTAAATCAAAGTTTTTGGTTTGTTCCTGATCTGCTGAGCGTTGAATCCAGTTCGAAGAATGTCTGATTGTTAAGACAAAATATATTCTATTGATGTACTTACCATAATAACTAAAAGGTTTATACTGCCTATTATAGTATTGGTCATCATCATCATCGGTGGTAAATTGATCTGATAGTATCTCTTTACTTATGTTGCCAGAAACCATGACGTGTGTTATAGATGGCAAGGATGTTTGATTAGCACTCATTTTTGAATCTTCCATTCTTTGATTCTAAGCAGTAACTGACAAGCAGTAACATTTTATGTAATGAAGTATCCGAGAGAAAAAACTTATAAATAATTGTTCTTCACTTCCCTTTTTTTTCAACCTGCTTGTCGTATATTATTTTTCTTTCGTTTACTTTGCGATAAAATCATGCACTCACATGTTGGAAGAATTCTTTAATTTGTCTCAAAATAAGTCAAAAATTTCGCTTTGTTCACAAAGTAAACAAATCATATGACGTATTTTTATTTCATTTTCGTCATCGATGTTCTCGATTATTCTTAAGTAAAACAAAGTAATATGGAAGATTTTTTTTGGCAGATCAATTCCAATTGGCACTTTAAAATTTATCTAGAAAAATCATTTCTGAATAACTTTATCAACATAGAAACGCATTTTACTAATTCTTGAAATAAATAGCTATATATATTCTCACATATTATGTTAGGGATCACTATAGTAGTCAGTTATAAAATGAAAAAAATGTAACAAAAGCATCAAAGAACTCATCACACTACAAAAATAAAGCTTAGCGGAGGAGTCCCATGATAAATGTTTTTTTCGTTCTCAGTAACTTTTTC